TTAACAATTTGATTGACCACCTAACTGATGACAAAATCAGTTTAAAGCAAATGGTTCATCAACTAACCTTTTTTTTTTTTTAATTTTTTATTAGATTCAAGTGGTTATTAATCCAAAATGGTTGGTTTAGATGGCTGCTCTAATCCAACTATATATTATGCTACTTGTGACTTCTTGATCTGACACTGCTCATGACACCTAAAGCCACTAACCATCTGCAACAGTTTTTATCTTTTTAATATTATGCTACTTGTGACTTCTTGATCTGACACTGCTCATGACACCTAAAGCCACTAACCATCTGCAACAGTTTTTATCTTTTTAATGTCAAATAATTCTTCAAGACACTGTAAAATTAAGACATTTTAAGTTTAAATTTTGATAATTTTTTGGGATCAAGTCATGAGTGATTTATCCCTCGTAAATATTCTAGTCCCGGCATGCATCCTTCCATCTCCACGCGGCATTACTCCATCAAGCTTTTGCTAATTGCAGAAAATTTTCCACTACTACCTCCCGTAGGAGTCTGGGCCGTGTCTCAATCCCAATGTAGTTGATTATTCTTTCAAACTAGCTACTAATCATTGCCTTGTAAGTTATTACCTCACCAACTAATTAATCAGACGCGAGTCTTGCCTTTGACCGAAAGGGGAAAGAAATTAATCGAGGTACACGCAAATTATCCCAAACATTCTTAACCGTTGAACAAAAAAAAATTCTCGGAGAGATTTGACATTACATGCTTATCCACAAAATTAAACCAAAACTAAATCCGACAAATTACAGTTATGTGTTTAATCTTGGATCATAATTTTCTTTCACTGGTAGAGTAAAGAAAAAGATTGACCGGATCTGACCAATCAATTCTGATATGTGGTAGCTAGGGTTGCAATTTTTCTAATATCCATGACTTGAACTTGACACACTGACAAGAGTGCAAAACAAAAATCCCAAGATAAATTAACATGAATACTAAAAGTAATTCTCTCATAAAGGGCATAATAGATTACTGTGATTATAGCACAATTTTTTTTTTTTTTTATAAAAAAAAATCATCTTTGACCTCTTTTAAGAATCAAAATTTTGTTTTAGTACATTATTTTTGTCACCTAAAAAATAAAATTAAAAATATTTTAGAAACAAAATAAAAATAAATTTGAGAATTTATTTCTAAAACACTCCAAATCATTAGTCTAAATATACTGAAATATATTAAAACACCTCAAAATCTTACGAAATATTAGTGGAAATATACCGCCACTTCTCGTAACATTCAAAAATATTTTAGAATATTAAAGTTTAAATTCAATTACTTATTTGTTTCAATTACTTTAAAAATAAAAATATTTAAACGATTTGACCCCTGAAAATCCCCTTGTTGATAAAAAAATTGAGCACGACAGTTTCTTCCACATTGACAATTGTTTTTTATTTGCTGTGGTTATTTCTTATTATCATGCTAACATCATTGTTGTCGTGAGCCTCGTTATTAATACTTTTCAAAAATGATCTAGAAGAATGTGCAAGTGAGTCACCAAAGGATCAATTTGTGGTGGGAAATATGCTGAATGTCCTCACCCCTAAACAACTCTACAGTCGTATGCATCAACCACCTTCATTTATCTGATTTTCTAAAATTTATTTATTTTTATTCATTTTATTCTATTAGTTTTACGTTGGATAATTACAAATAAATTAAATCAAAAAGAGGGGTCTTTAATTTATATCAAAATATAACTTTTTTTATTTTGGTTCAACGGTCAAGGATATCTGAGTTAACTTATGCACACCTCGACTAACCTTCTCTCCGGTCCGGTCAAAGGTAGGTCATCCATACTGGGAGTAGAAATAGGATATTTATGGGAGATCGATAAATCTCTCGTGACCTGATCACAAGAAATTGTCTCTTCATATTTTAAATGAGTGACCCGGAATAGGTAGGACATGATTTAATACATGAATTTATTAATATTTTTTCACTATTTTCTAATGCTATTTTTGTTGTTTGCTTTATAGGTACAAAGAACTAGCATCCTTCTAGATTCTGTTGCAGAATATAGCTCTGACACAAACAAAAAAATATAGGGTTGAGAATACAAATAATTGATACATGGTGACATATTCTTCAATTATTAAATAAAAAATGCACAATGACATGCCCCGATTAATATATAATATCTATAGAATGAACAATATTACTTGATTAGTTTTTTTTTTGGTAGTACTTTTCTGGCTTTTTAAAAGCAAAACCTACTTCCATTTTTTTATTTTATAATCTTCAATGGTGTAATACGATTCTCATGATCTCGGTCGTTGCCTTAAAGTTATTCTCATTCAAATTCCTCCCCCCACCACCACCACCACCACCACCACCACCACCACCAATGTTTTTATAATTTTTAACAAGACCAAGTACCACAATTTACTATTTCACTGCCATACAATGTAAGTCTTAGTCATAAGTAAATATTTATGTAAAATCCAATTATTATTTTAGAAGCTCTTATTTTGTGCAGCATCGCATGAGTCATTGCTAGTCCGCACAATTGAATTGTCACGGGTTCACCAATATTCTAATCAAATTGTCGTCATATTCTCTTTTTATATATAATGCTCTTTTACTTATTGTATTTTGGGCTTAATTCGATACATAATTCATTATATTTATACCCGAAAACTAATCTTATTAAGCTTCATGTCACTTTAGTATAATTACACTGAATCTTTTTGGGTATTGAAACTGAAAAAATATTTCTTCCGTTTTATTATATTTACTTGCATTTTTTTTTTTATATATTCGGACTTAGTTAGAGAGAGCATGTCTGCTGCCTAAATTGTTATTATATTCCTAAGTCAAACTGTAATCAAGTTGTTGAATCAATTTGATTGTTTATTTCACCAACCACGTTCACGAATTGACGAAAATGTAAAAAAAACTCTTTTTGCCTCTGCCATTCTACGGGTCTTATGTCATTCTTTGAGTATAGCGTGGGACGAGGAGAGATTTGATGTAAATGGTATCAAAAGGAATTTGTCTCTTATGCTTTGTTTGATAAGAAGGATAAAAAATAAGAAAGATAGAAAATAAGAGAGATATATTTTATATTCTTCAAATATGAAAAATAGAAATAATATATTTTTTTTCTTTTGTGTTTGGTTAAATGGATGAAAAATAAAAATGATTAATTTTTTTTGTGCCAGTTAAGATTAGGAGTGATAATCCAATCGTGTCATGTCTGTTTCGTGTTGAGTCATAAAATTATAAATTTTTTATATTTCTCGTTCATGTTTCAGGTCATTTTCAAGTTTGTGTCGAGTTATAATCAAGTTCGTGTTATAAAATTCATATAGAGTTCGAATCGTGTCATCGTATTGATTCGAAATTTTCACCTCTAGTTAAGATGAAAAAAATATTTCTTTTAATTTAAAATTTTTATTTTTTTAATTTATTTTTTAATTTTTTAAATATATATATATATATATATATATATATATATTTTATATGAAATTAATGTATACATAATATATAAACAAATAAAATACATCTCAACACAAATAATTAACTTTCCATCCATTTTACTTTCGATTTTGGTGAGTTGGAAGGAAAATTAATTCATCCACTTTTCTATCCTTCATATTTTCCTTCCTTATCAAATATGATATTTTATTTATCCTTCCAACTTTTCATCCTTTCAACTTTTCTATCGTACCAAACAGATTAGATTTCTCCCCGAGACAACTAAATAAATATGATTCAATTCATCTATCAAATTATTAAGGGCATGCAAATTTCTGATTATCCACAAATTTTGATCATATCTTACCCTACCTGATTTACTGATCGATTACCCGAAAAAATTAGGTAAGTCAACAAAAGATCATTTGGTATTTTGTGAAAGATCGAGGAAAAATGCAGAATACTTACAATATATATATATATTAATTCTAAAAAATAAATTTTAAAAATTTAAAAATTGTAATATTTTATTGATGTTTACGACTTTTTTATATATGATGTATTGATATTTATGACTTTCTTGTTGTATTTTATTGTAATTGTTTTACGTATTATTTAATTTATTATGTTTTTTTAGTGTTATTGGTTTATTATGTTAAGTAATTGGTGCAAATTACTTAATTAAATTGTTAAAATGATTTAAAATTTAATAAATAAAAAATATGACTTTATCCGATTTCGTGTCCGATTGTTTTGGACATAATTCGAATAAAAATAATACACTTGATCATATAAGATAAGCTAAAAAAATTTTCTCAAATTATCGAATAGGTAAATAAAATACTATAATTTTTACCTATAGAATAGGGTGAACTACCGTCTATTTTTGAAGTCATTTCGCTTATATATCTATTGTTTCTGCCTTTCGGTTGTCATTCAATAAAGATATTCCGCTAATCATCCTAGGTTTCAAAGGATATGTATTGTCATTCTCTCGGACTCATTCTCAGTTTTTCATATTTTTGTGATTTACATAAATTAGACTTAATTAATTAGCATCAGATTAAGCATTTCCGAACGTTTGTTCTTGCTTGCCATGTGTTATTCAGATCTAAATATTTGACATAATTTGATAATTTAATGATGTACTTTAGTATTAACATCAACTTATAATATTTGATGGAACAGTAATATTACACTAATCAAATTTAGAGTTTAAATGACAGGACAACTGATTTGGAATTTTTTATTTGGCGCCAAAATGACATAGCACCAAATAAAGAATTCTAAGTCAGCTGTCATGTCATTTGAGCTCCAAATTTAATCCTAAAATTTGGTCGATATAGCATTACTCTTGATGAAGTACACAATCAATTTAAAGATTATAATAAATTATGTTTCAAAGGCGTTGCTCAAGTAATAACAGGAGAGTCGTAAATTCAAACTTCTGAGTACGAAACTTAGTAATTTCTTAGGGTCAGGTCATGAGGGATTTATTTCTTGTAAATATCCTAGTTTCGACCTGGATGGTCCAGAAAATAAATTAGTCGAGATACACATAAGTTGATTTGAACACACCGGTCCGTTGAACCAAAANGCTATTGACAGGAGAACTAGCAGTATCTTCCAATGAATCGTCATAAAATATTTCTTTGCTTCTTGTTTTCTTGAAATTTAGTTTCTTGGGATTCTTCGGTGGTGAGGCAACCATTGAAGGGCATGCTAGTTCTTGATTGTTGTTGGAGATTACATTCCATGGAACATAAGAAGCAGCATCAGAAACAAAGGAAGGGTTAATAAAAGTATCTGAATTTGAGCTATGTTCTCTTTGGTTTGCTATGAAATCTTCAAAGTAAGCTGTCCAACCACTCTCCTCCTCTTCATGGGTATCTGGTTTTCCTTTGGAAGCAACAGATTGTTTACCACGTGAACTCAATGACGCCTCCATCAATCCAAAAGAAGAACAATCTGTGAGAGAGAGAGAGAGAGAGGGGCTACATTTAGACTCTCGGGGACCTTTTTTAGAGAGATTTGTAACAGGAAAGGAGATGTAAAGAATGGAGAAAAAGGGTACCCATAATTTAGAATCTTCTTGTGGGCCAGGAGGAGTTGAGGAAGTTAAAATCGGCAGTTGCAACAGCAGAGAGAGAGAGAGAGAGAGAGAGAGAGGGAGGGAGGGAGAGAAAGAGAGAGAGAACGTGCAAAGAAGAAAACAAATTTAATAAAGGGAGGCGTATGGGTTGACCTTTGCTGTTGAAATGTGGTTTTCACTTCACATTGGCAGCCATCTTCTTCTTTGTTAGCACTTTAACTCTGATCAACTACAATTGAATGGAAAGGCCAGAGCTATTCACCTAGGAGAGGAAAAGGCAGGCCTGAAGAGAGAGACTCCATTTCANTAATAAAGGAAGGCGTATGGGTTGACCTTTGCTGTTGAAATGTGGTTTTCACTTCACATTGGCAGCCATCTTCTTCTTTGTTAGCACTTTAACTCTGATCAACTACAATTGAATGGAAAGGCCAGAGCTATTCACCTAGGAGAGGAAAAGGCAGGCCTGAAGAGAGAGACTCCATTTCAAATCTCATCAATTTGGATTAAGTTCAATTATATATTTTTAAATATATGAGTTTTTGATTTAGCTGATATATGAGTTGAGGGATTAATTTATATACCCTGTATTTTCTCTTGATTTTACTTGAACTCACGAGTCTGAGAGACTAAATTGTCTCTATTTCGTTGAAGACAAACGGGGAATTTCACTTGTCATCCAAACAAATTAAACTTATTAAGTTTATGAAATATCGTAAAACACATAATTCACCAGCGAAATTCATTGAATCCCACAANAAACTATCCACCTTTTGATAAAAGAGAAAATGTTAGAATCCCGCGTCAATTAAATATAAGCTTGTACAAATATATACATACAAACTCCAAACACCTACAAGCCGGTTTTCAAGAAGAAGTTCATATCTTCGTACGAATTAATGGTGAAAAATATAAAAAAAAAAGTAATAAGAAGATCAAAAATTTATTTGGGTACATCTGACCTTGGGGCTATTGACAGGAGAACTAGCAGTATCTTCCAATGAATCGTCATAAAATATTTCTTTGCTTCTTGTTTTCTTGAAATTTAGTTTCTTGGGATTCTTCGGTGGTGAGGCAACCATTGAAGGGCATGCTAGTTCTTGATTGTTGTTGGAGATTACATTCCATGGAACATAAGAAGCAGCATCAGAAACAAAGGAAGGGTTAATAAAAGTATCTGAATTTGAGCTATGTTCTCTTTGGTTTGCTATGAAATCTTCAAAGTAAGCTGTCCAACCACTCTCCTCCTCTTCATGGGTATCTGGTTTTCCTTTGGAAGCAACAGATTGTTTACCACGTGAACTCAATGACGCCTCCATCAATCCAAAAGAAGAACAATCTGTGAGAGAGAGAGAGAGAGAGGGGCTACATTTAGACTCTCGGGGACCTTTTTTAGAGAGATTTGTAACAGGAAAGGAGATGTAAAGAATGGAGAAAAAGGGTACCCATAATTTAGAATCTTCTTGTGGGCCAGGAGGAGTTGAGGAAGTTAAAATCGGCAGTTGCAACAGCAGAGAGAGAGAGAGAGAGAGAGAGAGAGGGAGGGAGGGAGAGAAAGAGAGAGAGAACGTGCAAAGAAGAAAACAAATTTAATAAAGGGAGGCGTATGGGTTGACCTTTGCTGTTGAAATGTGGTTTTCACTTCACATTGGCAGCCATCTTCTTCTTTGTTAGCACTTTAACTCTGATCAACTACAATTGAATGGAAAGGCCAGAGCTATTCACCTAGGAGAGGAAAAGGCAGGCCTGAAGAGAGAGACTCCATTTCAAATCTCATCAATTTGGATTAAGTTCAATTATATATTGTTAAATATATGAGTTTTTGATTTAGCTGATATATTAGTTGAGGGATTAATTTATACACCTTGTATTTTCTCTTGATTTTACTTGAACTCACGAGTCTGAGAGACTAAATTGTCACTATTTCGTTGAAGACAAACGAGGAATTTCACTTGTCATCCAAAAAAATTAAAATTATTAATTTTATGAAATATCGTAAAACACATAATTCACCAGCGAAATTCATTGAATCCCACAAAAATATAGTAAAACACATACAAACTCACTAGCAAATTTGCAAAAAAATTAAAATTTGAGTGGATCAAACCGTGCATGAAGAGTTCAACGTGTCTTAGGGCCTACTCAAAAATCAAGTTGGGATCCGAAAGAAAAATGGCAGACCAAATTGGATCAGTAATTTTTTTTTTTCAATGGTCAAGGGTATCCAGTTCAACTTATGTGCATTTCGACTAATTCTCTCTTCGGTCTGGTCAAAGACAGACTTTCTACGCCGAGACTACAATATTTATGAGAGATAAATTTCTCATATCCTGGTTTCAAGGAGTTACACATATTCAAATTCATGATGTATAAGTTTATAACTCGTTTTTATTAACATTTCAACTTCCCAGTATTGCCCCTGCCAACTTTAGTCATCATGTTGTTTGTCCACCAGGTGCACATAATGAATAGATTGTGTACAGATTAAATTAATTTAATCACAACGTAATTTACACTACAACTTAGACATCAACTTGAGGCGACTTCTTGCTAGTCTTACAATAAGTATAGCCCAAAACAGTTGAATTCTCAACTTTCAGAAATGTTGGGCCCAATGTTAACACAATAAAAAGTCCATANAATTGTTATTATATTCCTAAGTCAAACTGTAATCAAGTTGTTGAATCAATTTGATTGTTTATTTCACCAACCACGTTCACGAATTGACGAAAATGTAAAAAAAACTCTTTTTGCCTCTGCCATTCTACGGGTCTTATGTCATTCTTTGAGTATAGCGTGGGACGAGGAGAGATTTGATGTAAATGGTATCAAAAGGAATTTGTCTCTTATGCTTTGTTCGATAAGAAGGATAAAAAATAAGAATGATAGAAAATAAGAGAGATACATTTTATATTCTTCAAATGAAAAGTAGAAATAATATATTTTTCTTCTTTTGTGTTTGGTTGAATGGATGAAAAATAAAAATAATTAATTTTTTTGTGCTAGTTAAGATTAGGAGTGATAATCGAATCGTGTCATGTCTGTTTCGTGTTGAGTCATAAAATTATAAATTTTTTATATTTCTTGTTCATGTTTCAGGTCATTTTCAAGTTTGTGTCGAGTTATAATCAAGTTCGTGTTATAAAATTCATATAGAGTTCTAATCGTGTCATCGTATTGATTCGAAATTTTCACCTCTAGTTAAGATGAAAAAAATATTTCTTTTAATTTAAAATTTTTATTTTTTAAATTTATTTTTTAATTTTTTAAATAAATATATATATATATATATATATATATTATATGAAATTAATGTATACATAATATATAAACAAATAAAATACATCTCAACACAAATAATTAATTTTCCATCCATTTTACTTTCGATTTTGGTGAGTTGGAAGGAAAGTTAATTCATCCACTTTTCTATCCTTCATATTTTCATTCCTTATCAAATATGATATTTTATTTATCCTTCCAACTTTTCATTCTTCCTTTTTTCTATCGTACCAAACAGATTAGATTTCTCCCCGAGACAACTAAATAAATATGATTCAATTCATCTGTCAAATTATTGAGGGCATGCAAATTTCTGATTACCCACAAATTTTGATCATATCTTACCCTACTTGATTTACTGATCGATTACCCGAAAAAATTAGGTAGGTCAACAGAAGATCATTTGGTATTTTGTAAAAGATCGAGGAGGAATGCAGAATACTTACAAAATTTATATATATATTAATTCTAAAAAATAAAATTTAAAAATCCTAATATTTTATTGATGTTTACGACTTTTTTATATATGATGTATTGATATTTATGACTTTCTTGTTGTATTTTATTGTAATTGTTTTATGTATTATTTTATTTATTATGTTTTTTTAGTTTTATTGGTTTATTATGTTAGGTAATTGGTGCAAATTACTTAATTAAATTGTTAAAATAATTTAAAATTTAATAAATAAAAAATATGACTTTATCCGATTTCGTGTCCGATTTTTTTGGACATAATTCGAATAAGAATAATACACTTGATCATATAAGATAAGCTAAAAAAATTTTTCTCAAATTATCGAATAGGTAAATAAAATACTATAATTTTTACCTATAAAATAGGGTGAACTACGGTCTATTTTTGAAGTCATTTCGTTTATATATCTATTGTTTCTGCCTTTCGGTTGTCATTCAATAAAGATATTCCGCTAATCATCCTAGGTTTCAAAGGATATGTATTGTCATCCTCTCGGACTCATTCTCAGTTTTTTATATATTTTTGTGATTTACATAAATTAGACTTAATTAATTAGCATCAGATTAAGCATTTCCGAACGTTTGTTCTTTCTTGCCATGTGTTATTCAGATCTAAATATTTGACATAATTTGATAATTTAATGATGTACTTTAGTATTAACATCAACTTCTAATATTTGATGGAACAGTAATATTACACTAATCAAATTTAGAGTTTAAATGATAGGACAGTTAATTTGGAATTCTTTATTTGGCGCCAAAATGACATAGCACCAAATAAAGAATTCTAAGTCAGCTGTCATGTCATTTGGGCTCCAAATTTAATCCTAAAATTTGATCGATATAGCATTACTCTTGATGAAGTACACAATCAATTCAAAGATTATAATAAATTATGTTTCAAAGGTGTTGCTCAAGTAATAACAGGAGAGCCGTAAATTCAAACTTCTGAGTACGAAACTTAGTAATTTCTTAGGGTCAGGTCACGAGGAATTTATTTCTTGTAAATATCCTAGTTTCGACTTGGATGGTCCAGAGAACAAATTAGTCGAGATACACATAAGTTGATTTGAACACACCGGTCCGTTGAACCAAAAATAAATAAATAGGTCCCAGTAGCATTGCTGTTTGGGATTATCCGAGGAAAACCAATCGATTGGCCTAGTCATGTTGGATATTCTTTTTTTTTTTTTTCATGTGGGATATTCTTGATTTTTCCAAAGTTATCCCAAATACAATTAGTATTTGCGTGTCTTCTCCTCTGTTCTTCATATTTTTTATTTGATAGAATATTATCATAAATGATTTAAGAAGAAAAATATACATCGTGCTGGATGAGAGGTGATAAAACCAAAGAAGTCTATGCCATGGATGATCTGAGATGTATGTTGATGATTGCAATAATCAGCAATGTCCCAGGAAGATTCTTAGAGAGAGAGAGATCAACCAAGAAGAAAACTTGGTAAGAAAATTAAAGAAGACTATGCCATGGATGATATGAGATGTATATTGGTGATATTGCAATAATCAACTCAACAATGTCCCAGGAAGATTCTTTATACAATTCCACAGAGACAGAGAGAGACAGAGACAGAGATCAACCAAGATAGTTCACTAACATCGACCAAGGAACCAAGCACAATCCACTCTTCTTCAGGTCCATCGAGTCATTACTTTTGCCCTCAAAGTTCATTACATCTCTTTCATCAGCCTGCAGTTCTGAATAATCACCATAGCCACCTACTTTCCCCTACAGAACCAGAACCAGCAAAAACACAATTGATCTTTTCAGCTCTCATATATATAAACAATCTGTACCAAACTTCTTTCAATAATGAATTAAACCCAAACTTATAGTCTACTTACCATAGCACTCTCAATATTGTCACATGTTCCTCCCTGATTCATATCCATCTGCTTTAGACTATCCACCTTTTGATAAAAGAGAAAATGTTAGAATCCCGCGTCAATTAAATATAAGCTTGTACAAATATATACATACAAACTCCAAACACCTACAAGCCGGTTTTCAAGAAGAAGTTCATATCTTCGTACGAATTAATGGTGAAAAATATAAAAAAAAAGTAATAAGAAGATCAAAAATTTATTTGGGTACATCTGACCTTGGGGCTATTGACAGGAGAACTAGCAGTATCTTCCAATGAATCGTCATAAAATATTTCTTTGCTTCTTGTTTTCTTGAAATTTAGTTTCTTGGGATTCTTCGGTGGTGAGGCAACCATTGAAGGGCATGCTAGTTCTTGATTGTTGTTGGAGATTACATTCCATGGAACATAAGAAGCAGCATCAGAAACAAAGGAAGGGTTAATAAAAGTTTCTGAATTTGAGCTATGTTCTCTTTGGTTTGCTATGAAATCTTCAAAGTAAGCTGTCCAACCACTCTCCTCCTCTTCATGGGTTTCTGGTTTTCCTTCGGAAGCAACAGATTGTTTACCACGTGAACTCAATGACGCCTCCATCAATCCAAAAGAAGAACAATCTGTGAGAGAGAGAGAGAGAGAGAGAGAGAGAGAGAGAGAGAGAGAGGGGCTAGATTTAGACTCTC